CTTCATTATCCATTCAAGCTGTCTCCAAACATTATGTGGCAATATGTTCGATAGCATATTATTAAAACATACATACTATTGCAGAAAATAATAACAGAAATGGTGTACAACAATAGAATTTCTTTTTCTCATCAATGAAATAAATATTTAAAAGCAAATTCAAAGATAAGTCTGAATAGACATATTTTTAACAATTCTATAATCTGTAACAAACTAAAATTAGTATAAGGAAGCAATAGGTAACTTAATAAAACAACAGATCTGATAAAAAGAAATAAAATTCTATAGTAGAAGTTAAAAACGGGTTTAATTTTAAAGAACTAATTGTGTTATTTAAAGTTACAGATTCTTCTTTTACGAGGAGTGTCACTAAATTAGTAGTTCAAAGTCAGATTGACATGTCGTTAAGATTTTAAAGTTGTTATCAGAGAAAGTGTGTTTGAGGTTGTCACAATGTGAATGATATCAGATTCTGTGGGATCAGAAAGTTTCATACTAATTCTTAAGGAGATCCCTTTGTGCTTATGGATTCAAACATTTAAATGGCAAGCTGTTTTACCAACATAGGTAAGCTGGCAGCTACCACGCATATAATTATAAACAATCCATGACTGCAACAGTATGAGAGTGCAATCTTCAAACTTAAAGAAGTCCTTCAGTTGGAAAGAAGACATAAATATTATTCTTAGTTTAACATGGGGATAAAATGATTGGAATAAATTTGTAATTTGTTTTCTTTATTACACTATTTTTTTCTTCATATTGGCAAGAAAATGTTAGTGTGATAAGGCAGCATTGAAAAGTTGGGAATTTTGGGCATTGTTAATATTTGTTGAGAAAAATATGAGTTATTTTAAGTAGTTGGTTTTGGAGAAAACTGTTTTGTGTAAAGGTTATTTTTTTTGTATGGAGCTTGGTAGTTTGAGCAGAATCTAAAAGCATAGTCCAGAAGACAAAGTAAATATTTTGTTTGTAGTTCATAGGTGTGAAGTTATCAAAAGGTGAGAACAAATTAGTAAAAGCTTTTTTCTGAGAGACAGATGTTGAGACACTGCCAGTGCAACATATGAATAGAATATCAAGCAAAGACAGGAAATAGTTTTGTTTGGGATCATAGGTAAAGTTAATATTAGGATGGTGGGTGTTTAAGTGATCAAGAAATAGGTAAACACAGTATTTACAGTAGAATAAAAGTATAATTAACATACTGCTTATAAAAAATATATATATATTTAGGTTTATTTTTCTATTGTCATTGAATTATTTTTTTAATTTATGAGAAAACTTCTAATTGTATCCTGGTTTATTATGTTATTATTGTCTGCATTTATATATATATATATTTTAACAAAATACTAACATAAATTTCAGTACTTCTTCAACACTTTATTATATTGTTACAGTTCGAAATGTATTCTGTTTAACTTTTGTTTTTATCAACAAAGTTTCAGTTAAGAAGTAATGATGTACTATGATTCAAAATGTGATAATTAATTTGTTATTTTAAAATAACTGTGCTGATGATGGAATTAGTAAATTCTGAAATGTCTCACAATAATAAAAGTAATATTCAACAAAAATAAAGAAATGATGTTCATCATCTCAATGGTCATCTTGTTCAGTACAGTTTACAATTTTTACCCATTTGAATTTGTTTCACAATGTGGAGAAAAATATCTGAAACATCACAAGAATAACATTAAGAAAAAAAGAAAAATTAATATAAACAATTCAATTTCTGTCTGTATTGTTCAACTGACAGCATCATTTTGTAGCAGTAAAGTAAAAAATGTTTAGGCTGTACTGATGTCTTCATTTGATTACTGTCTTATTGATGTGTACCACATTTACTACAGTGACCTTATAAAGACATCAGTACAAACAGAACGTTTTTAAAACTCAAGAAATAAAGCAGGTAAACACTATAAGAGAATTCAATAAGTTAATGTCTGCCTTATTTAAAATTCCACTTTTAACAAAAATTTATTATTTATACAGATTAGAAAAAGAAATCAAAAATAGTAAATAAATGCTATAAATATACTAGGTAAGTATAGAAAACCTTAGGGCATGTTAGAATCATGCAAAAAATCAGCTGTAATTACTAATGATCCACTGTTAAAATCAGGCACTTGATATGTGGAAGTCTGCAGGCTGAAAATAAAGTCATAACTGAGGTTAAATAAAAAACAAAAACAAAGGACAACATAAAAGAAACAAAATAAACCATGGTACTGGTCAGGAAGATGAAGCATAATTGAAGACTGATATTAAAGACACATCTAAAACATCAACCTTCAAAGCACTATTGATGGATCTACCATTTAAGTCATAGAATCAATAACAGATAAAAATAACTTTTCAATTAAAAATATATAAATGTATACAAGAATTGTTTATTCAGAATCTAAGAATAATATTTGTTTCTACAAATGGTATGGTCTTAAATTTGTGTTAATATAATAGTGTTACTATTTCTGAGAAAACTCAAAATCCTACTGATTTTTCAATCTGATAGTGGTACTACAATATTAGGATCAACTATCTCATACTACTGTTTTTTATCTGATGGTGGTATTACAACAACTAGGATCAACTATTTGATAGTAGTATTTTTTCTGATAATTCAAGTTTCAATGGCTCTATTAAAGTCAGGATCAATTAATTCTATATAATTTTTCTCTAATGTTAGTTATTAGAATCATTCACATACTTCTACTAGTTCTAGTGGTTTTTTCCTGTTAATACAAGTCTTAATAGTACTACAAGAGTCAGGATCTAATATCCCCTAAAAGTTTTTCTATGATAGTGGTACTACACGAGTCAGAATCCAATACTTTCTAGATGTTTTTCTATGATAAAGGTAATACATATGTCAGGATTAACTACTTCATATTAGTTTTTTTTTTCTCTATGATTGATGCTACAAAAGTCAGGATCAGTTATTTCCCATAAGCTTTGGTCTCATAATACAAGTTTTAGTGGTACTAAAAAAAGTTAGGACTACCTATCTTCACTACTTATATTTTCTATATTCCTACTCTTATATTTTTCAGGAGTTACGGATAAATTTAACAGCTGATAGATCCATCAAAACTGTGCAGTTGATTAGGAAGCTGGAATAGTAACAAAAAGGGGCGATTGATCATCACCTACCCAGGCTACCATCCTCACACCCTTCACAGAGTTGCTTGTCATCTTACAAGAAAGAAGAGAGGGAAATTTATTTGTTTCTGTATCCCAAATAGACTGAAAGTACAGACAATAGAAACATACACAAAGAACACAATTTCTGGAAAAAGAACAACACTGAGGAGAACACAATTTTCTGTTTTTGTTTTGCAGTTACATTTCTTTTGATGTATGTTAAAAAATAACAAAATGAATTAAATGTAAAGCTTACATAAGATAAGACAGACAAAATGAAACAGATAATTAAGCAATCTAACAGAAGGCAATTTTTTTGGAATCCATACAGTGATCATGCAAACATTGAAACATAGTTCACAGACACAACTTTCAGTTTTTTGACTAGACTTTTTGTCTCATCAGTATGAATTTACACATTTTATAAAAGGAAATTCATTTATAAGAAATTATTATAATAATAACATACAGAAAATGTCCTTAAGATAAATATATATATAAATATATACATATATTCATTTTTGTTGACAAACTATGGAAAAATAGTATATATATATATATATCTATCTAAATATGTACACATACACACACACACACACACATATATATATATATACATTTTTCTTGGGGAACTACTGAAAAATGTATGTATAAATAAACATGTAAATAAATACACACACACATACTATACACTACTACGGCTATAAAAACACGTATCTGTACACGTGTCCAGAAGAAGTAGAGTCAGGGTTGTTTCATAAAACACGTATTCCTACATTTATAGAGATATTAGCCAATATGTATATGGCACAATTATTTCTTCTCACACTTTTTGTGATAACATCGGGATAGTGACAAAAATTCTCAAAAACAGCATATTTCATGAATAACTTAACACCCTCATTTATCTTTACCAAAGGAGTAAATTCTATGTTGATATTTCTCTGCTTATATGATTGAATGATAGTCTTTCACAGGGGCAAAATATTGGTGCTAATCCTGATGGCTAATCACATAAAAAATTCTAAATTTCATCATAAAAGTTTTTTCAATTAGAGAACACAAGTTTAATGAAATATTTGAAAAAACTACAACAAAACTTCTTAACAAGAGCCATAGTTACATAGATGGATATGGACACATATAAAATATGGAAGATAATTCATCTATTGAACATTTTTTTCAACAAAAAAGTTTCCTAATATCTTCCAACTGAATACACAAAGACTTACTTGTCTAAAAGTAATTCAATATTAGTGTTCTTTCAATAATCTTGATCAACGCCTATTAAAACAAACTTAAGTGTATAGAAAATTAACATAAATTGATTTTTCCAACAATATACTCTAATACAATAAACAATACTAATAAAAACTTGGACATTGTATTTCAAAAGACAAATGTGAATCAAAATATTTTTTGAAGGTTAGAAAATATTTGGTCTAACATATTGTTGATGGCTCTAACTCTACAAATGTCTTGGGTAGTGACCGATTTCTCAAATATTTCTAAAGCTTATCAAGCACTACAGTACTCATGAATACATAAAATGTAAGCAGACACACACCAACTATTAGTATGAATAACAGCTATATTATTAACTTATAACTGAAAAATATAAGACAGTAAGTACATATATATGTATTCTTTTTAATAAGGGTCATAAAGAATGTGATATTGAAGTTTTCCCAAAGGTAAGAGACTTGTAGCCTAGTCGCCAATTCCTGCATTAATCCCTTGCTATATTATGCCACTTGTACACATGCAGACTAAGTACATATTTACATCACACACTTAAGTAACTGCCACAGGTGTTTACAAAAATGCATACAAAGTAATACCATATACTAGAACAATATAAGAAAGGTATCAACAAAATAATGCAATATAAAGTAACATTATTAGGTACACAATGTAAACATAACATACAGATCAAAAAAGAAAAATATCAAAAACATTGTACAAATGAGTTCAAGCACATTCAATTTTAAAGTGATGATGAATCAAGGCAATTTTAAGCACTGTACATGAAATTTAAAGCAAAAAATATAGCACATATTGTTAAAATATACTGTTTAGAATCACTAATATCCAAATTTGTTGTAACAGTGTTCACACAAATATTTTTATAAAGGGAGAACATTAATCTAGCCATACAGAATTTCTTTGTATTATGCAAATTCTTGCTTAATTTTATAACTCTTCAATAATACAATAGGTATAGTCTCTCCAAATGTTTGTGACATTGTACATGTTTAGATTAATCAAGATTTTGCAAATAAATGAATTTATACATTCAAGTGCTTATTGTCTTAGATAATTATTATTTTAGAACTCCTGAACAAAAGCTAGCTAACTACATAAACATGAATTTAAAAAGTGAGTTACAAACTTATGAAGTCAATTCTATAAAATAAACTGATAAAAAGCATATTAAAAAATCAATATAGAAGAAACCTAAAACTCATACTTATTAGAATGCATTGAATCATCAGCTGAGTACTTTTGCTATTAATGACAGTTAATTGTTTATTTATTCAATATACTTTATATAACAATAATAAGTAGTAAAAACTCATTAGACTATATAGTTAAATGGTAAGAGAAATATGTATATTAAAATTTATCAAAAAGTACATCTGTTTTCCTCAGGAACAAATAAAGACAGGTCCACCTGTCAAAAGCTCAACTTTTTTCTATATTACATTAGTTTTAATGAATATAGTGTATCAGAGTATAGAACTAAAGTATTAAGTGAAAATTACTTCACTTTTGGAAAAAACAAAGTTTCCTAATGTTTCAGTTTTTTTTAAATAAGCAAACGGAAACAACAGTATGCTAAAATAAATTATTAAAATAAGAAACAAGCTTACAATCTGAAGAAAAGAGGATAAGCTGAGTTCTGGTAATATGGAATTAGCTTTAGACTAAAAACCACAATGATTCTTAGAATTTGCAAAATGTACCTTATCCTCAGATGTATTCATGATAATAACACAGTCAGCCTTTACATATATTTTGACATTAAATTTTGATCACAAGTGACGAACAATAGTTATATTTGTTATGTTTGTGTTATATAGTGATATTGGTATGTTGCAGATTATACATGAGCATGTTAACTTGTACATGTGAATTTAATACTTTCTTTAAGTATTATATTTTTAAATAAAAAGCTCTTTACTCTCGAAATAAATACTGGCATTTTCAATCTTAAGAGCAGCTTGTGCAATTCATGAGCTGAATGGTCAGGTCAGGAACCCTTAGGATTCAGGTCCAGAGGTCCCTAATCTTGACCTACTGACCAGAGAAGGCAGCTAGATAGCAGAACTTCCACTACAGGGTTTTTTTCTGGCTTGGAACTGAATAAAAGGATTGACTGTAAATTAAACCGTCCAGTCACATGTCCAAGACTACATGCCAGTTCATGTACAAGGTACAAATAAATACCAGAATTCATGATATACTATCTACAGACACTTCCTATGGACTTTTGTAACTTTTATTGTTAAAAATGGACTTTGGAAGCCAATAAAATAATCCATAGAAGTTAAAGCCTACAGGTTTGTAAGTTGAAGCATTTAAACTTACAAACTAGTTCTTTAAATCTAAGACTAAATTCAGGAAGTTTACATGCTGCTCCATACAAGATAAATCTGTATGTTGTATTGTTGGACAGAGAGAAAAATTTTGAAACCCTTTTTTAAGTAAAAATATAATTCTGGACAGACTAGTTCAAATATCACTTGAACATTTGAAGTGGCATAGAAAACTCATCAAAGCACGTCTATTTAAGTTAAAATACACTGAAGATCTGCAGACTATTCCATATTGTTTAACTTAGTCGAGAGTACAGTGTATGAAAAAAGTTTAAAAAGTGCAAGCAAACATATTTCTGTTAATTAATAATATACTAATAAAGTATACATTCATGTTTCCTGAAAATAAAGTAACCTTGATTTCTGTTAATGAATAATACACTGATAAGGTATGCATTCACGTTTCCTGAAAATAAAGTAACCTTGATTTCTGTTAATGAATAATACATTGATAAGGTATGTATTCACGTTTCCTGAAAATAAAGTAACCTTGATTTCTGTTAATTAATAATACACTCATAAAGTATACATTCATATTTCCTGAAAATAAAGTAACCTTGATTTCTG